AGACCGGCAAAAGGAAAACACAGAGCTCTCATCTTTAGAAAGATTGTCGCGATATGTATATGCACATTATAAATGCAGCGATGTTTCCGCTGCTCGCGTGACGTTCGTTATGGCTATCGTTAATGCTAGCATTCGTAACATTTCCGCACTCGAGAGTTCTGTATAATTTTTGTGGTGAAAAAGCAAGGATAATCCGTCAGCGTACCTACATCAATTGCATTCGGAGAGAGAAATTCAGACTATCTCGAAAATCCTCCAAACTTTCCGCGAAACAATCCATAAACGACTACTCGACTATTCCATTCTCGTGAATTTTCTTGCGATGTTATATCTGTTTCCGCGTTTCCGCATTTCTCACCCCTTCAGCCTGTCCCAAATGTTCGATGGTAGCGCGCTCTTAGTTTGTGCAACAACCTTGCGCAGCAGTAAGTCTTTGTATATGTGCTCTTCTCTCAAGAGCTTCTTCTTCCCAACTCGGTTCGTTCTTCCATTTTATTTTACAGCGAGCCCAATTGCAGTGTTTACGTTCCTTTTATCTTTAGTAGCTTCTCGTATAAAACGATCTACTCTGTCCGTCCGATCAGAGAAGAGAAGATTTTGAGAGAAAGAGAGGAAAAGGGCGCGCGCAGAAAATTTAATAGCGGAAACGAAATTAAAAAAGAAAAGAAAAACAGACTCCTACACTCACAAATATCGTGCATAATGATTTGTCTCATTTTTTTACCGCACTCGTAAATTGCATCGACTGCCGTCGTTTTTTATTTTCCGTTACTTATTTGTAAATTGTGCAATAACAAAGTGTTTAGCACGTTTTGTAAAATGTCATGTTCTTAATGAGGTTCCCCCCACTCACTGCAGCATACTTGTTGCAATCCGATTGCGAAATCCAAAGTTTCACGAAACAAAGTTTTACAATGCGACAACTTCCAATTTGTTCTGAGTTTTAAATGAATTCTTAAGTAACGGCTTCGCGAACCATCATATATTTCTCGCAAGGCTATATCAAATATGATTTATTTTTATACTCGCGTTATGACCAAGATACACACACACACACATGCGTGAACTTTTCAAATTCTATTTAAACAGAATAAAATGATATCTATTGGCTTTTTGTACACGATCGTGCATACGTTGGGCAATGTTTCTTTGATAAAAATGGCTCAATCAAAGAGAAAGAGAGAGAGAGAGAGAATTTTTCTTTTAATTCAATCAATCGTCAAGCCTGGAAATCCCTTTGAATCGCGATGTATAACATATCGCATAATAGGAGAGTCGCTTAGGGGCTGCTGATGGATTCGGTGAGTATAACAGCGTGATTTCCGCGGGATCACGTTGCGATTGTCGCGTCGATCTCGTGCCTTTTTTTCCTCGGTTTAACGAGAGTCGAGCGAGCTGCGCTTGTCAACGTCGGCGAGCGAGCGGCCGGGCTTACGCCAATTATCGTCCCGTTGTTGGATCGCGGTTGAATTGTTAAACAAAAATTTTCATCCCTTTTGACCTCGTCCCGCCCCTGCCCATCAAGTATTGGAACGGGCTTCGCGTTGACACTAATAAACGTGCGCGTGCCCGGAAGCAGATCCGCAAGAATTATGTATCCCGGATGTATATGTATATATCTGCGAAACCCGCATCGTCAAGTATGCGGATATCGGCGACGATACTCCGCATTCGACGCGCTTAATCGCGTCACGTTCTCATCCTCTCGCGCTTTTCTCTTTTATGGTCTCGCGCGTTCGTGACGATGCATACATCGGGGTGATTATCCGGCAACGTTTAACTCTGTATCGCGTCGAGAAATTATAATGACTCTGTAGAGAGCGTGTCAATCAATCGACTCAAGATTCGTAACACTCGAGTCTAATTTCCGATAGTAAGGCTCACAATCAGTAATGAAATGATACGCATAACATGTTAATAGAGTAATAGCCAATTTATAATACTATGTATGCTCTCTTGCTCTCTCTCTCTCTCTCTTTTTCCATACATCATAGATCTTTTTAAATAATCCAATTTGATATTTTTAGCGTGTGTAAAATCAGTTTATTTTCCTTGTTAATCTAGAGATTTTGTAGCAGTTATACGTGCGAAAATGATGTAGACAGAGCTATATGAGTAAAACGCGGCGATCTTTATAGCGGAGCTTGAACAAGTATTTATAAAAGGCTTTTAGAATTTATGGGAATAACCGCTGTGAGTATGTTTCTAACGGATATACCGTGACCTTCCGCAAAGTCACTTGCATTAACGTTAGACCAACCAGAGACTGGATGCCATCTATGAAAAATTCAGAAAATCCAAGAGAAAATTCAAACGTGAAAAGGTAAAGCTTTGCTTAATATAAATGTCGCGTTTCGAAAAATATAATTTTTCTTTTTTAGAACGCAGTGTCACTTTTTTTATATGTTTTAGAGATCTTCTGAAAAGACTCTGTTGTTTTTTTCTTCAAATATGATTGCACCGTGTTAAAGCAACGAAATATCTCGACGATATAAAGCCGAATCGTTCTGAATGAAATGTTTCAAATAAGACCAATATACATTACATTTTTTCAAAAGATGAAAGCATTGAAAGAGAAAACTTCTCAAAGAAGCGACTTTGTGTTATACATAACTCTAGAATGTAGTTAATAAACGTGAATGAAAAATGTATTTTCAAAAACATATAAAATTTAATTACCAAAGTATCCAGAGATAAATATATGAATAATGATAAATTTGGCATTTATTTGCTCAATAAAAATTATTAATACCATATTATAATAATTACACTAATAATAATTATGCCGTATCGCAATTAAATACGACATCGTGTACATATGGTAATATCATGAAAGATTTGCCCTGCTTTTATTTATTCGACGAAAATCGTGCATGCAAACCGGTGCTTCATCTCTAAAGCTCCTCTCGGAATATGCGCGCGTGCGATGTAAATAAGGTTTTTACGCTCGAATATCAGTGCATGCTATGCAATTTAAGAGGATGCAATCAAGTAGCGCGAGACGCGGTATCTAATCTACAAGATACTAATTTCCGGAAGTAGAGTTCTCCCGCCATGCATTAACAACGATAATATCCTTTCGAACACTGTTCATTCTTTTTTCAGAGATTATAGCGTATGTAGGAACTTACTACGAAATGTTCGTAACGCTACGGCGGATTTCTATCTGTTCTAAATTTTAACACGCCATCGTTGCCACTGAACACGTTATTTCGGATAAAAGCTGTTCACTAGTTCAATTTAACCCGATTTTACGCACACGTATAAAGTTTCTCTTTTTTATATTCCCATCAGAACAAAATTACATCAGAACAAATAACAATTGACATAAATCGATATCTGTCATTGCACAAAGAGAGTGATGTTACAATATATCGGAATGATAATGAAAACAAATGAATTTCGGCTACACGCGCATGTACACGCGTTGCATCGAGGGTTTTTTTTTTTTTTTTAAATATCAATAATCATCGCAAATTTTTGCAAAGTTTATAAGGGTGTATTGTCTCCATACACATTTAGCGACCGATTAAACGCGCTATCCCCATCGACCGGAATGCGTTATTAAATACTTGTAACGCGTGCGCTTGAGTGCCGATCATAAATTGCGTAATTATCGGTCGGGGCGATTGCATCGCACTCGCAAAATTCGCGCTCACGTCACGCGCTGTCAACTTTCATTAGGTATAAAATCGCGCGTCGGTTTTCTCGATCGCGCAATTTCCACAGTGGCTCGGTTTCCGCAAATAACGCGAGCACGAAACATAGAGTTTTTCCTATCGGGCTCATCGTATTTATTCTCGCTAATCGAAAGGTCGCGTTACGCGATAAAGTATGATACATTATATTTTACATATGATGATCGTCATGTAAGCTCACATCGAGATATTTACAGTCAGTTCGATAAATTAAAATGTAAAAAAATTCACGCGCCGCTCTCTCACAATTACACCGTTAAAAAAAAAAAAAATAAAGTTCTCCGGGTACTATAATATCTTTTTATGGTAATTTGTCATTAGTTCGAATTGTAAGGTCCTGCAAAGTTTTCGAGCTAATAGTCGAGCACGCAGTGGTGCATTAAGAACTTTTCGGCATGCTAATGTAGCATTAACGATCGACCGTCTTTGTTTAAAACGTGCGATGCTTGTCGAGTACTCTGCCTGCAAAAAATATTAAAAAAGAACGAGATGCAACCATCCAAGTAATTACTAAATAAAAGTTGAAAGATTGTTTCGAATTCGACTCTAATTTAATTTTGTTTTTCTTTTCTCGCTTTTCACTCTTTTATTCAGTTAAGAATAAAATTAATTTAGCAGAGGCATAAAATCATAAAATCATAAAATTGTTTTATTCGCGTACAATTGTTTTGCTTGCTTATATTTTTATTTGCTCATATTTTATGTGATATAAGACGAACAAATTCTGTACAGACTTCCCCGACGGGGTGAGTAAATTCTTGTTGTATTTCCAAGTTAGTAACGATCCAAGATATAAACTGAAAGATACTGCATCGCGAAAGTGATAACGACCGTTATTTCTCACGTGATTCGCAATTCTTTGCCAAGAAAATCGGAGTAAGTTCCGCTTGCGGAGTATATCACTTCCGGAAAGACATTTATTGCGAAAAGCGTTGCTGGTATCCTGGCCATTAGAAAGGAGAGATAATATATCGGACGTATATGTGTATATAAACGTAAAACTTATTAAAAGACCGTTCTTTTTTCTCCGTTGTTTCCTTATAGCACCATTAAACGCAGCCTTCGACGCATAGCTTTATGTTAACCGATATTCTCTTTCTTTTTCTTGGCACGATAAAAGCCTCGATTTCGAAAATTAAGTACTTCCTTCAGTCGCTAATGGACGCTAGTCTAGCACTAAGTAAGAGGAGGGGTGAGATTTGTCCAGCCGCGCCGCGGCCGATCTCTCGGTTGACGTTCTCCACTTTGCACCCTCGCATCGCAAGGGTAGAACGCGACACTCGAAAATAATTGAAAACTCACCGAGAATCAAACTATCGAGGGAAGGAGGGAGGATCCCCTGTATCCTTGAAAGTATCCCTTGCACGCGTTATTTGTTCGTTCGTGTGAGCGCGTGTGTACGTACACGTTGGTACACACGGACGGTGCGACGTGTAGGCGAGCGGGATTTTAAGGGTTGGACGATCGCAACGGGTCGCGCGCCTCCACTATACTGGCCGGCCGTCTCGCGGCACTCGCCTCGCGACGCCGGCACAGCCAGAGCGCGTACTCCAGACGCCGACCTATCGCGGCCCATCGCCCGAATCCGGGTCCACCGCCGAAGATGGTTTGCGTCACGACGAGGCCTCTCGATATGGGAAAGCGTGCGATATCGTAATCCGCGCGGTCGAGTACAATCTTACATCCGCGTATTCTTTCTTTCATTAATCTGTTGGAAATGCTGTCTTTGAAGCTCCGAAGCTGAGATATGTCGAAACAAGTTAGTGCGCATAATTAAGAATGGATGAGAAAATTCAGAAAGTTTTTTTTATGGTTTTATTGAAATATCATTGTTTACAATGTGATTAAATTTTTGTCACATTAATGTATCGTATCTTAATTTTTGAGATAACTTTCTAGAATAATTACTTTAAATTTCGCACTCTTCGAGCGATCGATTAAATTGAATATTAACAATCCGGGGCGCTCGAATGGACTGATCAAACTGCAGATTCAAATATTAATGATTACGAATTACAGAAAAATTATGTTTGCTTAATATTTTAATTGTACACTTTACGTAAGGTAATGTGAAGATATATATCTCGACATGCTGACATATGAAAATAATAATTCTAAAATAATAAAACTGGTTTTGATGTTTTACATAAAACACATGAACATTTAAGAGTAAATTTATACTCGTGAAAATAAATTGCTCTCTGAGATATATTGAAACAAATTAGTACGCGTAAATATAATTGAAGATGGATTATAAAATTTAGAAAGTTTTTTTTGCGGTTTTAATGAAATATTATTGTTTGCAATGTGATGTAAATTTATATCACACAATGCATCGTATCTTAATTTTTGAGATAATCTTCTGGAAGTATTTTCAATTTCGCACTCTCCGAGCGATCGATGAAAACGAATATTACTATTGCAATAATCCGGAGTGCTCGAGTTGACTAACTGATCAAACTGCAGATTCAAATATTGAAGATTGCAAATTACGGAAAGATTATATTTGCTTAATATTTTCACGAACGATTAATATTTTAATTGTATATTTTAGGTAAGATAATATAAAGATATATTTCTCGACATGCTGACATGAAAATAATAATTCTGAAATAATGAAACCGATTATAATGTTTTACATAAAACATGAACATTTAAGAGTAAATTTATATTCGCAAAAGTAAATTGCTCTCTTTTTATTACATTAAAATTGCACACTTATGAGAGAAATTCCGACGATTTGCGTTGAAATATACACATATTATTTTGAAAAAATAATTTTTAAATTGAGATAAAAATATATGATTATACGAATAAATAGAATTATCCAGATGCAATTTTCATACATAAAGTATAATTCTACATTTATTTTCGTTCGTTTATTGCGTCGTACGACATTGCGTTGCGTACAACTTTATCCATTTATATCAATATAATAAGATCGGCTTAGAACAGTTATTATCGCATTTGAAATTCCAGTTTTGATAATATTGGTAAGTTATAAAAATGTTGACATCTCCCACATGTCGAGATTGTTCTTAAATTACTATATATTATACAATTTCATTCGCGCGAAAAACGCGCTTTAGCTGAAAACTTTGATACAAATCTTTTGGAAATATTTTATCCTTAAAGTTCTAGAGCCGAAAGTTTGGCATATCGAAAGAAGTTGATGCGTAAATGATGCAGATAGTTTATAGAATTTGAAGATTTTTTTTCTTATTGTGAAATATTACTATTTGTAATGTGATTCGCAAATCTACATCATATTTGTGACGTTTTTTAATTTTCGGTAATGTTTAAAAATAATTTATAATTTGTTGTTCTAGGCAAATTATTTTTAGTGAAATTTAATTTAAAAAACACTGATATCACTGATGAAAACGCTTGTGTTAGCAAATTAAACTGAAATATTGAAAATTGTGTAAACAAATCAAATTGAAATATTGAATATTGTGTGAAATAAAGAAAAATTATATTTTTTTAACACTTTTACTGCCGATTAATATTTGCTGATTAATTAATAAACTTTTCTATAAATACAGTAATTTAAAATATTTGAATATTTAAAAATATTTTATATTATTTTTATATTTTAGTAGCCTTATAAAGTAGCCGAGAGTAAATTACTCATTTTTTGACAGATATAAGCATACTGATTCTCGAAACGTTTGTGCGTAAGAAATTAAAGGCGCCGATTCGACAGCGAAAGTGTTAACCTTTAAACTATCTACGGCCATTCGCTGCGCAATGTTGATTTTATAACGAGTTGTTTGATTGCTTACGACAATCCCATTCATATGCATTAAAACCATACTATGATGGCTTTATGACTTTTCCCCTCTCCTACCTGCCACTCAATTTTACGATGAAATTCAATCTCGAGTTTGTCGATTGAACATAGGCGTTTCATTCTCTTTTCGGCCACTGTGGGATATCAATCTTTCAGTCAACAGTTTTTATCCATCGAAGTTGTTTTGCCCGTATATATATATAAATATATGTGTAACAAAAACTATTCTCCCTATCGTACTTTGAGATAAATGATATATTTCTTAATGTCCTATTATAACTCATTGTCAGTGAAATAATAACTTCTAATTTATAGTCTAGCTGCTTCGTTCCGCTATTTGAACAATGTTCGCGAAACTTTTTATGATTAATATTGTAGAGCTTTATTGAAATTACAAACTTTATAAATGTTTGCTTTCTAAATTAACATTTCAAAGTGCAGAACACAGATAAGACATTTAAGAGACGTATTGTAGTATTATTCACAACTCGCATTTTTTAGAAAAAATTGATTTTATATCGGGGGAGGGATATCTTCAAACGTTCATGTAATCGGAAGAAGATGCTGGATATAACTCAATACCATGAATGTATTTCTATTTTGTACGAGAAAAAGATAGAATTTTTATTTTAGGGAAATGACATTTGTATTTTAACGTATCTTTATTTACCATATTATTAAATCCCAAAATAAATTTGAAATTTTAAAATGGATTTGGAATTAACAACTCTTTCAATTGACGTTACGGTCATTGCATAAGATTCGTCACGCTGATCGTTTCCTTATACAATCCAATTGAAATTCAATTACGATAAAATTCGACATAGATTTCGGCGAAAAACCGCGATGCGCGCGAATCGACGGTAATTGCGCGCGTTTTATGACGATTTATTATTTCACGAAATAGCACGGCTTTTTATAGCTCTGCAATTTCGATATAGTGCCTGCATAATGGAAATGGAAAGTATATGAGAATAGAACTATGTATAGTACGTTGCAACTGTTTTTTTTAACGAGTGGATTAGAAGATACAATACTTTCATATTGCAAAATATTTGACAAATATTATCTTAGAAAATCCTTACAATATTTGAAATATATTTTCATATATGTATATATGTCTATGAATCTTTTTAAAATACATTGTAATGAAATTATGCAACTGATTTTATTTCCGTTGAATATTACATTGTCGTCGTACCATGTAGCAGAACGTACGACAGTATTTAATGATCCTCGGATCCATTATCTAATAGAAACAATAGAGCCGACCATGTGGCTTTTATCTCATCATGTTACTATAAGCGCAATTTTCGTCACCGGACATTTAACATTAACTAACGCTTCAAATATATTTTTAATATAGTTTTCAGAGATACGAATATAATTATTTATTCCCATATTTTCTTATGTTGCAAAGATTTTTGGAAATTTAAAAAACTTCTATCTAGTTTCATCAATCCTATTATATCTCACTAGATGACATTTTAATCCATTAATTCTATCGGATAATGAAAGAAATTTTTTAAATAATAATAACGAGAATAAAAACAGTACGCTTTAATAAAAGTATTAAATATACATATATTTATATCTGTCTGTAATTATTGTTGTTGATTTAAATCTACAAAAATATTCTAAAATATTAATAAATACAATGAGAAGGAAAAGAGAGAGAGAAAAATATCACATTCAATGTGTATTATTTAAAATATGGATAAAATGTCACAAATGTGGAAGAAATAAAATAAACATTCATATTTATATTTTTCGTTACTCTCTCCCTCTCTCTCTCTCTCTCTCTCTCTTCTCTCATTTCTGATATTATTTTACGTATTGTTCTTTTTTATGTTACACGCAACGCTATAAATGTATAATACCTATTTTTTTTGTAAATTTTTTTAACTTAAATGGCAGATCCAAATGTGACGAGACATATCTCATGCAGCGCTGTATGTCGTGTGTCTGTGATATTTTTTTGTAGTTACAGTCGTATGCTCTAATTACACGGATAATCGAATCGGTGCAGAAAAAAAATACGATCGGGATTAATATCGGTCGCGACGCGTCGCAAACTCAATGATTGGAATATTTTCAATTACTTATGCACACAGCGCTTTCAATCGTCGCTTTGACCGAATGAACGTTCAGCCAATTACGAGCGAGTGCGATATTGAAATGACGCGACGCGCGAGCGCACACCTCATACAAGAAAAATGAAAAAAAAATGAGGACAAGTAGAGATACATGAATGGCCATTCATTCTTTGACTAAATCTGGTTATTAATGTATGCAATATATACACGCTATTATTTAATATTAAAAAAAAACGTTATTTGATAAAATTCATAGATATTATGTACTGAAACATGCCAGAGAATTTCAGTGAAAATTATCGAGTTTTTATCTCGTATTCGAGAATCATTGGCTAAATCCCGGAATATGTGGCGCAATATACGCTAGAAAATGACTGCAAGCGTATACGAACACGATTCATTCAATTAACTGTTTACCATTCGCATTATTTATGCACAATTTTAGTTGAAAAAGCTGCGCTCTTGTTAAGCCGTTAGGATTTAATCTTGCATAATTAATACGATTACGTATATGTACCTATCTACCTTCCTATCTATCTACAGAGCGCAGCTTGTTACTTCCGCATATTTAATTCTTCATTTTTGCTTGGGCATTTTTGCTTC